TTCTGTAGAAAGAGATCGTAACACTTATCAAATAAGAGAAGGTCTAAAATGTATCCATCTGGAGTGAGGAGCTTTGGGATGAAAATATTGAGGAACTCTGGGAATTAAAATATATTTTAATGTAGATGTCAAAATCTTAAAAATTATTCTTACAACATAGTCAACAATAGCAGAAGATTGAACTTGATTGCCAAAAATATCCTTTGAAATCCTCTTTCTGAGAGTTACAGAAAACAAACCTCTGATAGCACTGTGCATGCACACTACCTCTCCAAATAATTTTAAGTCTTTATTAAGTCTTCATTAAGACTTCATCAGAAACTTTGAAACTGCATAATCCAGAGTAACTTCAGTTTAAAGTTTTTACATCATTCATACTCCTTCTTTCAAAACCAAGTTTACGTAACACAAATAGGTTAAAATGACCTCCTGTTTCCCCTTACTAATTCGGATTTAATCTTGGCTCTAATCTCATCCAAAAACTTAAACCATCAGGTTATGAAAACTCACTTATTCTTGATTTTCTGTGTGTAAGTGTATATGTGTTTGAAGGTGGAATAGAAAGAAAGACTTTTGTATTAAGGAGGTAATAACATGGCAGGAGACAGGATCTGTTGTAATTCTGATTGTTGTCCCTTTGTTCAGTCCATGAAATACACTGAGATCCATGAAAAAGGAAACAAAACCTGTCCAAATAGAGTCAGAGAAGTCACCAAACCCCACAAGCTGAGGAATAGAGGGAGCAATTGCTGTGTTTGCAAATTGTCCTTCTTTAAACAGTCATGTTCCAAATTTGCAATGCATCAGTATCTTAATTTTTTTCCTGAATCTACATTTATGCTTTTCAATTCTTAAGTCAAACATTTTTACTCTGGAGGTACAACACTTGGTGCATTTGACAAAATAGGAAAAGTTCTTCTCCCCTTCCTTGTAACAGCAGTTGTTTAGTAACATGATGTAAAATGAAATATACTCCATATAAACACCCTTATTGTGCTAAGTGTTCCCAATGGTATCTTTTACTTCTGCTCCATCCTCATCCATGGAAGGACTGCAGCTAAGGCTGATGTCAGATGAGGAGACATGAGTAGAGTGGATGATGATGATTTGATGAAGTATAACTTGTTCCACAAAATGCATTTTCACTTCAAAATAATGTGAGCGCAAGCCAAATGTGCTCATTAGCAGAATTTCCAAAATTTCATTACATACACACAAATGAAGAACTATCATTAAGCCTATTTAATCTGGTGCTCCTGATAATCATACAAAATATGGCAGTCCTTGATTAAATTCCCATCTTTCTCACTGATCCTAGGTTTGCATCCTAACTTCAGGGCACAAAGCAGAAATGGGAGAGCATATTTAGCTTTAATTTGTATTTTATTAGTGCTTTTAAATACAATGGTTCTTGAAAGGTTTTCTGAACCCCATATTATCAAGTTATTGCTGTCTCTTACTGAGTTATGATCTCTCATATTCACATGTGAATATCCTACTCATAAATTTCCCAATCTTCACATGCTCCACATCCCTCTTGTTGTGATGCTTGACTGACTTCATATTATTTTTCTTTCTGATTCAGGGTAGGAATCTGAAACTCTTAATTTAACAAGTTAAATCATTACTTTCTCCAAAGGCCATAGACATTCTGACAATAATGAAGAAAAGAGAGGAGATGAAGTTTCTCTTACTTCTGCTAGAATTGTTCTCTTTTCAAAACTATCCACAGTTTGGCATTTAGGATTAGAGAATTTCAAGATTTACTTCCCATAAGCTGAACTGAAAACTAAACCTAGGCCACAAAGTGCAGATGGATGTTTACACTCAAACAGAAAGATGTGACTTTCTCCAGCATCTTTGTCTGGAGCTGGTCCATCTTCTTTGTTTTTTCTTACCTGTGTTACAAGAAAATTGTTTATACAAAGCCACAAAGTGCTTTAGTATCAAACAATTTTTTTTTTATTTGTCATTCTGGGACCTAATGTGAAAAAAAAACCAAGCAACCACACAACACTGGTTTCTCAGAAAAGAAAAAAAAATCTATTGCTTAATTCAGAAGCTAAATTAAAAAATCAAATCTTTGCACAGCCGTAACATATAATTGGTTTCATTGGCATAAATGCACTGAAGTACACAAGTGAATTTTAAAACTATATTCTATATTCTTTTGTTATTGCTGAGATCTGTCACAAGTAATTTTAGAATCACTTATTGATCTCTCATTATTAAGATTTAGAAAAGCACTCATTTGTTAATTTGAGCATTTCTGAGTCCATTCACATTAAAAATAATTACCATACCACCATCAAAATGAAATACTCAGACAAACACCAATAAATTACCCCAAATATTACTCCAATATAGAGAGAGATTTTCTTCATTAGAACTTTTGTTCTGGTTTGGGTTTTTTTTTT